CAGCTGGAACCCCAGCATCATACACAATGCTCGCACACAGTGGGTGCTCAATAAGTGTGTCAACTGAAGAATGAGCAATGCTCTCACCATGCACCCAGTGCCCCACCTGAAGCAGCATTCGGACACAGCTCTGACCCTCCAAAGACTCAGAGGGAGTCAAGACCACGACCACCCACAGCCCTCTTCACAGAGTAGCTGAGCCCTCAGTGGTCCCCCAGTCAACCCTCAGCCCTGGGCCAGACCCATATCAGGTACATTAAACAACTGTAGCTTTTGCATAGACTTCCAAAGGCTCACATGAGGGCTGGGGATGTCCCTCCATTGGTAGAGGGCTTGCCTAGCATGCAAAAAGTCTCAGGGTGGATTCCCAATCCTACAGAAAGCCATCTGTGACCCCAGCACTGGGGAGGTAGAGGCAGAAAGAGCAGAAGTTCAAGGTCATCCTTGGCTACACAGTGAGTTCCAGCCCGGCCTACTTGTGACCCTGTCTCAAACAACACCACCAGGGAGGCAGGCGGGAATGGGTTAGAGACAACAAGAGAAGTAGGCAGAAGAGTCATATGATGCTTTGGGGACAGGAAGCCATGACATGGGTTGGGGACAAACAGTGGCTCCTCTCCAGGCTTCTCAGAGCCCCACCTTATCTCCCTCTGGTCAGCCGACACATTACCAGAAACCTGGCCTCCCTGGAGACTTCTGTGACATCCACACCTTGTGTCAAGTTCTACCAACACATTGAACTCCCCACCCCCCACTCACTGCTGGAGACACTGTAGGGACATGCTACAGTGATGGGGAGAGGCCTGCCCTGGACAGTGAGAATTTCAGATTGTCAGGGCTGGGACAGGGGAAGCAGGGGTCAGACTGAGAGGACTTCCCGGAGGAGGAAACAGAGGAGGGAAGTTTTGATGTGATGGTAGAGTACAAGGGAGACAGAAGGTTCAAGTGAGGGAGGGAGGGGCTGAAGGATGGAGGGAGAGTGACCCTTGAGGCTAGTCCGGGGGGCACACAGGGCCTCGTGGGCCACTGTAAGATTCTGCATTTTCTGCTAAGGGCACTTGGGAACCACAGCGTGTTGTGTGCTAATGGAGCAAGGGAGGCCCGAGGCCCAAGACACAGGCCCTTCAGACCCAGTGCTGAGAGGGCACAGTGGCATGCTCCCTGATAAAACTGGAGACTGGGATGGGAAGGTCTGGGGAGGTACTGAGGTCATTTTGGGACAAGGTAAGTCAGAGGCCCCCGGGACATTGGGGAATGATCCTGAATAACACTGGGATTCAGTCCCAGGACTCAGGCGACAGTGTGGAGGCAGAGCCAGGGCAGAGAGGGTGGGGTGAGATGAGGTCACTGTTGAAGGGGGGCAAAAGGCACCAGAAAATCACCCATCTCAGCCCAGCCTCCTCCCCCTCTACACAGCCCCGCCTTGTTGAGGGCAGCCAGAACTTGGTGATAGGAGGAAAACCAGGACAGGTGAGATGTAGGTATGGCGGTCTGCCCATCCCAGAAGCAGGAGCCTGCAGCCACAGCCATCAAGGTATGACGTTTGTAATACACTGTGCAGAGGCCCCGAGTCCTGGGCCCGTGTCACTTGTTCAGTCAATTTCTTGGGCAACCTCCCTCTACCTCAGTGTCAGGGGCAGCCCCTCTTTCTGGCTTCACTGTTCCATCTGAAGTGGAATAGATTGCCTTTTTGAAATGGGATTTCACTATATACCCCAGGCTAGCCTGGAACTCACAATGATCCTCCTGCCTCAGCCTCCCAAGTACTGAGGGACTAGGGTATGTCATCAAGCCCAATGTGACATGGAATACAGTCTACCTTCCTTTTGTTGTTTTATTTTTATGTGTATGAGTGTTTCGCCTGTATGTATGTGTGTGCAATGCCCATGTGTACAGCACCCATGGAAGCCAGAAAAGGGCATCAGATCCCTTGGAACTGGAGTTAAAGGTGGTAACTACATGTTAGCCACCATGTGGGTGCTGGAAACCAAACCCAGGTCCTTTGCAAGATCAGCCACTGTTCTTAACTGCTGAGCCATCTCTCCAGCTCTGCTTTTTTGTCTGCCTGTTCATTTGTTGTCTGTCTCTCTGTTTTTGAGGCAGGGTCTCCCTGCAGCCCCAGCTGTCCTGGACCTTTCTATGTAGACCAGGCTGGTCTCCATCTCACAAAGATCTGCCGGCCTCTGCCTCCCAAGTACTGGGATTAAAGTTCTAGCTGTTATTCTGGTTTTGAGACAAGATCTCCTGTAGCCCAGGCTAGCCCCCAACTCATTCTATAGCTGAGGATGACTTTGAACTGATCCTCCTGCCTCTACCCCCTGAATGTTGGGATGGCAGGTGTGTACCCCTACACCTGGTTTATGCAGTACTAGGGATGGGGCCCAGGGCTTCATGCATGGTAGGCAAGAGCTCCACTAACTGAGCTGTACCCTCAGCCCACTGTGAGCCTCTTCCTTGTTGATCTTTGCCAAGGGAGGGGTTTAGTTCATTTTCCTTCCTCACAGGGTCCCCCAGCACCTAAGACAAAGCTGGAAAACAGTAGGTGCTAATTAAATATTTGTGGAAGGAACGAGTGATTTACTGAGTGACTTACTCTGTGACAGGCACTATTGTAAGCACCAAGTTTACTTGCTTGTTCTACAGAACCCACTTGTGTGTGGTCAGTACATCTGCCCTTTGTTATTTAGGGGGTAGTGGCTCTAGAAGCCCCTGGAGATAGCGATCCACAGAAATTCAAGGACTGTTTTTTTTCTTCTGGGCAGCTTCTCACTCTGTAGCCCAGGCTGGCCCCAAACTCAGAGATCTGCCTGCCTCTGCCTCCTGAGTGCTGGGATCAAAGGCAAGCATGGAACTTCTATACAGCTTCTCAAAGCTCCCAATCATCCCTAGATGGTCTGTTATACTTAACAGAATATAAATGCTATGCAAATAGATATTTACAGCGAAGAAATGAAGGCTGATGAGATGGCGGAGTGGTTAATGACCTAATGACCTGAGTTCCATTCCCAGCATTCACATGTTGGAAGGAAAGAGCCAACTCCTACAAGCAGTGTGAGACTATCTGAGCCAGTGGGTGGTGCGCACCTGCAGTCTCAGCCCTCAAGAGGCTAAGGCAGGAGGCTCAGGAGTTCAAGACCAGCTTGGGCTAGAAAGAGAACTCCAGGACACCCTGGACTATATAGCAAGAGCTTGTCTCAACAAAGGGCTGGAGAGATGGCTCAGCAGTTAAGAGCACTGGCTGCTCTTGCAGAGGACCCGCATTCAGTTCCCAGCACCCACATCAAGCAGCTCACAACCACCTGTAACTCTAGCTCCAGCCAATGTCCTCTTCTGGGCACCCCCACACATGACATACATTCATACAGACAGACACACATACACCTAAGTGAAAATAAACTCAGTCTTGAGATGGAAGGAAGGAAGGAAGGAAGGAAGGAAGGAAGGAAGAAGGAAGGAA